AGTTAAAAAANAAAAAAAGAAAAAAGACAATATGAAATCTGTTTGCTGTATAATATTCATTTACCACCATTATTTTACATTTTGCTACTCCTTTTCTGCTTTTTTCCTTTCTCATTTTTTTTAATTTACTTTTTTCATCAAAAAAAAATTCGTGTTGTATATTGAAATTATAAAAGTGATATCTGTAGAATTAATCTTACTCATAGTTTGAATTCTAAGCAGAAAAAAATATGCATAAAATATAATTGTTTTGTGTTTTCTGCACATAGGCGTTTTCCGCATATAATTTGTTTTGCGTTTTTCCCATATTGCTACTTTTGTTGTTGTTGTTGTTGTTATTATTATTATTGTTGTTGTTGTTATTATTATTGTCATTATTATTATTATTATTATTATTATTATTATTATTATTATTATTATTATTATTATTATTATTATTATTATTAATTATTATTATTGTTTTGTTGTTGTTGTTATTGATTTTCTAATCTCTTTTTTCGCCGTTTTTTAGAAATTCTATTTTGATTTTAATAAAATTGAATTCATCATGTGTATTCAATTCATTTTTGTTTCACATTAAATGGTTTATATCAAAATTTCATCCATATTGTGGATAATATTTGTTCAACAATAACAGATCAGCTATAGCTTAAAGATTGCCTGCCTGTGAATCACAATCGGAACTGTCTAATTTAACCTTAAACTTGAATTATTTGATAAACTGGAAATAGTAATTCTTATCGCATAAATGTTGCATATAGTGGAAAAAGACAATTTGAAATAAATTTACACAAATCTAATAACTTTTAAAATTATATACAAATAATTAAAACTTAGTCAATGAATGTATTTCCGATGATTTTTCTTTATTTTTTTCTGCAATGTAATAGCTGTAAAAAAATTTAATTAGTACTATTTAATTATCATTTTAACGTTTATGTTTTTTCAGCTATGATTGTAATTAGTCATGAAATTCTAATTTTTTGCAAGAAAAAAAAATTTTAGAAAAACCATAAAATATGATAAATAAGGAACGATTAATTGATGATAATAAATTACAACGAGAAGCAGATCATTTACGATGGATAGCATTTTGTGGCGTAACAATGTCAACCGTGGCAATATTGATATGTGTCATATCGGTACCAATGTTCTACAATTATTTACAACATGTGCAATCAATGATGGAAGATGAAGTAGAATTTTGTCGATCAAGAACTGGTAATATTTGGCGTGAAATAACCCGTACACAGGTACTTCTCTATCGTTAATATTCTATAGAAATACTAATAAAATATATAATCCAATTAATATTGTTATAATCTATGTGATAATTCAATTTTAATTCTTATAATATTGTTGAAAGTTTTGAAATTTGATTATTAAAAACAGAAAAAAATACTCACTTTGAATTGATCGATTATCCGATAAGAATGCAAATGTTTTTAAAATATTTTAAAATAAAATAGGAATACAAATAATGCATATTGTTAGGTTATTCGTAAAGATTTAAGAGTAATTACTTTTTTTAAATACATTTCTTTTGAATATGAAAAAAAAAATTGATCAATTTTTATTAATTTAGTATCTTGCAAAGTCAACTGAAAAATTACGAACGAAACGATCACGTGTAGCAGGCTCTGTTGCGGGTGGCGTATTTTTTAAGCACCATAAGCGTCAAGTTACAGCTTGTTGTGGATGTGGAATTACTCCACCTGGAGAACCAGGACCTCCTGGATTAGATGGTAAAGATGGCGCAGATGGTGAACCAGGACGTCCAGGAAAAGATGGTCCAGATGCTGTTAAAAAAGAAACTTTTAGCATACCACAAGTAAAATTAATGCTTTTCGGATTATTTTTAAAGATTTGATGCCATTCCATTTTGGAAGTGATTCCTACTATAATGATTAACTTTAGGAGTGGTGTTTTGATTGTGAAGATGGTCCGCCAGGTCCAGCTGGCAGACCTGGACCCAAAGGCCCACCTGGGAGACCAGGAGTGATTGGATTTACTGCTGAAGAAAGGATGCGAGGTCCTCCAGGACCACGGGGTCAAATTGGGCCTCCCGGTACTCCCGGAGTGCCTGGTAAGTATTTGTGGTAAAAATAATAACTATGCACGAGGAAAACTTCCGTTACTTCACTCTCCTGATATTTCAATTATTCTTTTAAGGATTGAAAGGAGTACCAGGACCACCAGGTCGAACAGTCGAGAAGGAACAACCAAGAGGACCACCAGGACCAGCAGGTCTACCTGGATTGCCTGGAAGACCAGGTATTCCAGGTTCTTTGGGTGCACCAGGAGCGGCTGGTCCACCTGGTCAGCTAGGAAATGCCGGTAAAGATGGTATACCTGGTAAACCTGGTGTACCTGGTAATCCGGGCCCATTTGGCACAGATGGCATAACAGGAAGCTGTGATCACTGTCCAAAACCACGAACAGCTCCTGGATATTAATTAATAAGATTTTAAGCAACGACAAAAAATGCAAAATTGCAGCTATCAAATATACATTCATGTAAAAATGTCTAAAGAGTGTTGTTAATGTGACTAAAAAGGTTTTTCCATCAAAATTTATTGAATTTATTAAAGTGAGGAAAATTATTTGATGTTTAAAACTCATGATTGATATGATTTAAACAAAGAATAACAGGTAAAAAGCAAAAACAAATGGCCACTATAGTGGTGACAGTTGGTGACATGAGATATAATACTAAGATGATAGCATATATATGGTTAAAACATTAAGCTTTTCCGAATCAGTTACAGTGGTACAAGTAATATTGTTGATCTCTGATCTTTCTAACTTTTGATTTTTTGAAATTTAGTTCACAACTAAATACTCTATTTTTATCTCTTACTTGCTTTTCATTATTAATGAAAAGGAAAAATGCGTTTCTATGCTATTTTTCTTTTTTGAAATACAAATCTATAATTTAATAAAAAAAAAAATCTGGCGAAATTGAATAATCATTTGTTAACAATTAATGTTTTCCTTCTTTATTATCATTATCAGTATTGTTGCATGAATAAAGTTACCATTTTTTTAGTTGCAATAAAAATAAATATAATCTTTGATGTTTCCAAAGATTCTGAAAAAAAAAGAGGAAATTTCTCAAATTTTGTTAAATTTTTAATGAGTGTTTCCCTTTTTTTCGAAAAAAGAGAATGAATTTAGCAATTGTTGTTGAATAATTATATTTTTATCATTATATGATATGATAATGATAGCATAAATCAAATAGTGCCAATAAATGATGTTGGTAATATTGTGAGCGATTGAGTTTTATTTGCTAAATTTAAAAGTCAACTATGGGAATAGATGAAAATGTGTTTGAAGATTGGTATGTCAAAGGTTATATGACAATCCATTCAGTTTTTTTTTTCTGTGTCATTTAAATTTAGTAAACATACAAGAAAATAATTCTTTTGTGCGACAAATACGCAAAGAAAGGTAGCGAAAAAATCATTGCTCAGAATTTTTAAACAAAAATTTCAAAATTGAAACAAACTAAAATTGCATTATTTTTGAATAAATTTCAGTAACAGTAGTAACTTGCTAATGCTAATGTTTTTCTTAACAAATTAGTATACTGTAAACCATAAATTATTCACATTTAGATGATTCTTATCCGTAGAACTCATGCAAAGTTACGTGAAGTTATGTCAATGTCTGACGTAAAACATTAACTGATACGTTTTATTCAAATGAAACGAACATAATTACTAAAAGATACAAAAATGGAGCAAAATAAACATAATTTATTTGAATTAATAAAAATCAATCATTAATAATTGTCAAATCATTTTTTGCACTAACTGTGTTCCCACCGGATTGTGATATTTACTCATTCCGAATTACATCTCGTAAATTTCCGAAGCATGAACTGGAACTAAAATAATTATAAATTTAATTGGAATTAATAAGAATGATAAGAATAAAGCACACCACACTCTCTTAACCTTTTTTTTTTGCCATTTCCAAGGAAAAGAATAAGCAATTATGTGAGAGAGAACGCTGTAAATTATGCATTACTACAAAATGATCGACACATAATGAATAAACTGTTTGTTCGAGAAAGATCTGTCGAAATAATCCCATAAAAGTATGAAATTGTCACCTAGGCTAATACTGTCTCCTTCCCTTTCCCATACTTCACTTGTACTTCCATTTGTGTTCAATGAGCTTTGTCTCAGAACAAATTTGGTGGTTATATATAAATGTTGTGGATATAAATATTTTGGGTATATATGTTGTGGGTATTAGCATTGTGGATTTCCAGAACTTTCGTGCTTTCCTTGTTATTAAGTTCGAGATGATCTTCATCGTTGTTAACTTCGAGGGGATACAGGACATTTATTGGACGATTGAGGAGTTTCCCAGTGGGAGTTTCTACTTGAACATTCCTGACTTGACCGTCTTTATCAATTTTGACATCTTTGATTCTTAATAATTTCCACATTCCCCTTGGGATGCCTGATTCATTTAGGAGTACAATCTCTCCCTTCCTTGGAGTTCTTTTTTGTGCTCCTTTGGGTGAGGTAATTTCCCTTTGTGTGCGTTCTCTGAGGCTTGTTAAATATTCGGTTCTCCAGATTTCCCAAAAATTATCGAGAGTTTTAAGAGTTGTTCCTCCAGTATTGATGAGCTTTTCTCTGGTATCTAACCTGTGAGGGAT